TGAGTCAGGAGCCCGATGTGGGACTCGATCCCAGGACCCTGGGATCATGACCTGAGCCGAAGGCAGACGCTTAACCATCTGAGCCACCCAGGCGCCTGTAATGTTCTTTTTAAAAAAAGTAACTGTTCATGGAATGTATTGATTTTTTTTTTTAAAGATTTTACTTAACTTATTTGTCAGAAAGAGAGAGAGACAGGGCACAAACAGGGGGAATGGCAGGCAGAGGGAGAAGCAGGCTCCCCGCTGAGCAGAGAGCTGGATGTGGGACTTGGTCCCAGGACCGCGGGATCATGACCTGAGCTGAAGGCAGACGCTTAACCAACTGAGCCCCCCAGGCATCCCTGTATAGATCTTTTTTGAAACAAACTCAGGATTCATAATTCAAATAGTTAAGCTAGCAAGACAATGTGAAGAAAGTGTTTCAAAAAAAGAACTTTTTTTATTATGTTCAGTTAGCCAACATCAGTAAAAGAACATTAGTTTATTTGTATACCATGTTCATAGCAGCACTTATACATGATAGCTAAGAGGTAAAAGCAACCCAACTGTCTTTTGATTAATGAATGGATAAACAAAATGTGGCGTGTATATATGTAATGGGATATTATCCAGCCTTAAAAAGGAAGGAAAATTCTAACACATGCTGCAACATGGATGAATCTTTTTTTTTTTTTAAGATTTTATTTATTTATTTGAGAGAGAGAATGAGAGGGGGGAGGGTCAGAGAGAGAGGCAGACTCCCTGCTGAGCAGGGAGCCCGACATGGGACTCGATTCCGGGACTCCAGGATCACAACCCGAGCCGAAGGCAGTCGCTTAACCAACTGAGCCACCCAGGCGCCCCAACATGGATGAATCTTGAGGACATTATGTTAAGTGATATAAAGCAGTCACAAAAAGACAAATACGGGACGATTCCATCTAAAGTAGTGATATTCATAGAAACAGAAAGTGGAATGGTAGTTACCAGGTTCTGGGAAAGGAGGAAAAGGAGAATTGCTATTTAATGGATATAGAGTTTCAGATTTGCATGATGACCAGTTAAGGAAATCTGTTTCACAACAATGGGAATATAGTGAGCGCTATTGAACTACTTCAAAATGGTTAAGATGAAAAACTTGTTACATGTTTTTACCACAATAAAAAAATCAACAAGCAGTTATGAAGTGAATTTGTTAATGATAGATGACTGTGTGTTGATTATATAGTTTTTGCTTGGTTAATTGATTACAATCACTGATCCCATATTGAAGTAAATTTCTAAAAAATTTTTTTTTCTTCTAGGCTTCTCTAGCTGAAACAGATAAAATCACTCTGGAGGTAGCAAAACTTATCAAAGATGATTTCTTACAACAAAATGGATATACTCCTTATGACAGGTAACCTATCCTGATTTTCTTTTTTTATTTAAGGATTTTCTGTTGAGTTTTGAAGAAAGAGCCGCCTCCACATTAGAAATCCTTTTTTTTTCTCATACAGACAGAACTCTGACTCAATATATAGGTTTATTTTGTATTTTCATAGCAAACATCTAACGATCTAATATGTCCCCTTATCTTTGATTTTCCTCATTTGTGCAGTTTTGACAACAGTATTTTCACTCATTATCCAGCCTTTTTTTTTTAAAGGGATTTGCCACTTTTTTTTTTTAAGATTTTATTCATTTATCTGACAGAGCGAGCGAGAGAGCGAGCACAAGCAGGGGGAGTGGAAGAGGGAGAAGCAGGCTTCCCGCTGAGCAGGGAACCCGATGCGGGGCTCGATCCCAGGACCCCGGGATCATGACCTGAGCCGAAGGCACACACTTAACGACTGAGCCACCCCACGCTCCTATCCAGCCATCTTTAATTAGATTAGATTGTGGCGTAGTGCATGGAGCCTCCTTCAGATGCTTTTCTCACTACGTTTTACAGCTGCGCATGCCACTTCTACTCTTTTCCTAAGTAATTATGTCCTACTTTCCTGCTCCATTTCCCAATAGTCCTAGTCTTCTTTCTTTCTGCCATAGTCTCTGTTAGCTGTCCCACTTGTGTGTGCTACTGCTGTGGCTTATTTAAAGTCCCCATTTCGGGGCGCCTGGGTGGCTCAGTCATTAAGCGTCTGCCTTCGGCTCAGGTCATGGTCCCAGGGTCCTGGGATCGGGCCCCGCATCGGGCTCCCTGCTCGGCGGGAAGCCTGCTTCTCCCTCTCCCACTCCCCCTGCTTGTGTGCCCTCTCTCGCTGTGCCTCTCTCTCTGTCAAATAAATAAGTAAAATCTTTAAAAAAAAAAAACAACAAAAAAACTAGCAGACAAAAAAATCCCTATTATATGATCTTTAAAAAAAATAAAGTCCCCATTTCTTTTAAACTTCGATAAATTGAGCCCTTTGATCATAGGCTAGCTTTTCTCCCTCAAATCATATTTGGACTGAAGAGGGAACTGAACACATAGGAATATTACCAGAATGTAGGACAAGCAGAAAATATGGCAATAGCCTCAAAAATCTGTATCAGGAACTTAAGAAGCTCTGGCCACCCATACAAAGATAACTCAACCAAAGGAAAATTCTTCAGAAAGTGTAATACAGAATGTGCATGAAATTGTGTATGCAAGTGTGTTTAAATGTATCAGAAAGTTGATAGGCATGCATGTGATCCAAATTGAATATTAACTTGTGTGTCATTATTAAAAGGTGTGGGTAAGTGAAAATGAACAATTAATGGGGGAAGGGACTACTGTTCACCTTAGGAAATTGCAGTTTTCTGCTTTTCTATTACTCATTAAACCTTAATCCCACTGTCACAAGGAGTTCTTGCAATTCATTTATTTTACCGTCTGGGTTACTCCTTTAACTGTACTGTACAAAAACAAACTCTCAGAGAGTTGTTAGATTATAGCAGTACTGTTTGATTGTTCTTCCTCTTTGATTATTTTAATAGATAAAAATAAACATCACTCTTAAGTAAATAAATATCTCCGTTTATCCATCCCCCCCCATATTTCATCTGTGCCAAAAAGCTCTGGTCAAGTAGTTGTTAGTCTTTTCCACTTTTGTTTTCATTCATTATCATCCAATAAATAAAAGTAGTCTGCATATTTAAATAAAAAAGCTAATGCTCCGGTATTTTATAGATAAAGTATGAACCTGCTTTGGATTTTATTTTTATTATTTTGATTTTCATTTATACCCGAGGTTCTGCCCATTCTACAAGACAGTCGGGATGCTGTCCAACATGATTGCATTTTATGATATGGCCCGGAGAGCTGTCGAAACCACTGCACAGAGTGACAATAAAATCACATGGTCCATTATCCGTGAGCACATGGGGGAGATTCTCTATAAGCTTTCCTCTATGAAATTCAAGGTATATTTTGCTTCTACCTAACTTTTTATAGTAAGAAATGTTTCTTTTTATTTTTTTAACTCTGTACAAACAGCCTATTTATTCACAAACCTGGTGTGTGAAACTTGGGTTTATCATTTTCACACATGCTCAGGTTATGTAAAACCAGAAGAGACCGTAAATTTACATTCAAATAGGAATTCTAGAGATAAAAATTATACTATGTCATGTCTAAAATAAATGCTGACGTGTTTTCCCTTTTGTCTTAACTGCCAGGCAATTTAGAGCTAAAATCATGGCTGAGCAGCAATTACTTTTCCTCAAGTACCTATTACCATCTTACCTCCATGCTCATCTGAAATGACTTAATGCTGTTTACTTCTAAGTATCCTGTTACACACCATTTTTTTTCCCTATTACCCATCACTTTTAACTTTCAGGTGGATTCTCTTTTTTTTTTGAAGTGCACAACATAAATAGATAATTAAATGAAATTATTTGTAGAAGCTTGAATGTGTAAAATTGTTTTTAAAGTATTTGATCAATTGGGTTTCTAAGTGATGACATCCAGATATATTTACTAATCACCTATTGAGAAATTGAGAACGGTTCTCTGACTGTGTGTTCTATATATAGTGTTTGTTTACACTGTAGGTTGAAAATAAATCTTTAAAAATAGACACTCACTGTATCAAGAATTTTAAAATATTCACACTCTTTGAGACTTCATTCCAATTCAAAACATATAACCCAAGGAAATAATCAGAGATTTTTTTTTAGGTAAAGTATAGTTGACATTAATCAGAGATTTTTTATATGAACATATAAAATATTGTTTATTAAACTTCTTAAATGTCATTCAAGAGTGAACAGGGTCAGCAGTACATTATGGCATATACAATTATAGCAACATATTATGAAGACATTAATACTGTTTTTTCAAAGAAAATCCAAAGATATGGGGAAATGCTTATGGTATAATGAGTGAAAAAAATCAAGTTGCAAAAAAATTCCGTATGTAATTTGATCCAGATTTTATTTTTAAAAATTACACATTCATATGGATAAAGAAAATGTGATACACACACAAATACCATGGAGTATTACTCAACCATACAAAAGAATGAAATCTTGCCACTTGCAACATGGATGGATCTAGAGAGTATAATGCTAAGTGAGATAAGTCAGTTAGAGGAAGGCAAATACCGTATGATTTCACTCATGTGGAATTTAGGAAACAAAACAAACGAACAAGGGAAAGAAGAGACAAACCAAAAAACAGACTCTTTAATATATAGAGAACAGTCTGGTAGTTGCCAGAGGGGAGATGGGAGGGGAGATGAATGAAATAGGTGAAGAGGATTAAGAGTACACTGTTACTGATTCACCTGGGTGGTTCAGTCGGTTAAGCTTCTGCCTTCGGCTGAGGTCACGATCCCAGGCTCCTGGATTGAGTTCCACGTCGGGCTCCTTGCACAACGGGGAGCCTGCTGCTCCCCCTGCTTGTGCTCTCTCTCTCTGACAAATGAATAAATAAAATCTTAAAAAAAAAAAAAGAATCACTATATTGTATATCTGAAACTAATACAACACTGTATTTTATTGCTGAAATAAATAAAATTATACATTCATATGAAGAGATAAAAAAATATATCCAATAATAATATAGTGATGATTTCTAGTAGTGTGATTCAAGTTGGTATCTTTTTCGTGTTTACAGCATACTATATCAAATTGACATCCGAAGTTTTTTTTTTAAACTCTTATTTTGTTTTTAAAGATTTATTTATTTATTCAAGAGAGCAAGAGCACAAATGGGGAAGGAGCAGAGAGAGAGAGAGAATCCTCAAGGGGACTCCTCACTGAACACGGAGCCAGGCACAGGGCTCAGTTGCAGGGCCCTGAGATCATGACCTGAGCCGAAATTAGGAGTCGGCTGCTTAACCAAATGAGCCACCCAGGCGCCCCCTCAGTTGTTTTCTTATGTCATTAAATATTCTTCTGTAGCATTATTTTGTGGCTGGAGAGTAATATTTTCCTATTGTTAAGTATTTAGGAAATTTCCAGTTGTTGGTATGGACAGCTTTGTTTCTGTAGTTGGTTTTGTGTATTTTCCTATTATACGTTCCCAGAAGTAGACCGATTTGGTTAGAGAGCTTAAATATTTTAAAGTCTCTTTTATTTATACATAAAGTCTATTTTATACATACTGCTCAGTTAAGTTGTTTTCCATAGAGATTTAAAATGTGTTGCCTTTTAAGATTATTTTAGAAATTTTACTTCCCTGTGCCAATGTGATATTATGAGACCTTGAACAGTAAATTGTTTTGACCAAATTAATTCCAACTATCATGTACATGCAGTAGAATACATCTAATATGTGATATTGTATAATTTCCCCATATTTTGCATATTGTTGAGGATAAATCCATTGGTCACTGAATACAATTAGCAAGCCAAATACAAAACCAAAATTTTGTCTTTTTTAAAAAAAATTAAATGCAATTTAGTTAACATATAGTGTATTATTAGTTTCAGGGGAATCAAAATTTTGTCTTCTTTCTCTTAGGTTGGAGTGTTCCTCCTTGCATACATTTCTACTCTTAAAGGAAAATAAGGATAATTTTTGACTCCTGCCTGTGTTTTGCCAGTATACCTCACTTAACCTAATACTCAAAATATGTTCAAAATAAGTAACTTACTACCTGTTCTGAAAATTATTTTCCAAAGGTAAATTGAGTTCTGTACTGTCTTTTCTCAGGATCCAGTGAAAGATGGTGAGGCAAAGATCAAGGCCGACTATGCACAACTTCTTGAAGATATGCAGAACGCATTTCGTAGCCTTGAAGATTAGAACTGTGATTTCTTTCCTTCCTTTCCTCAGCAACCTCCTCTCATGTGTATATTTTCCTAAATTTCTCATCTCCAAACCCTTTGCTTCTTTATTGTGCAGCTTTGAGACTAGTGCCTACGTGTGTTATCATTTGTTTCCCTGTTTATCTGGTAGGTCTTATATAAAACAAACATTCCTTTGTTCCAGTGTTTGAAGGGCCTCCATGATCCTTTCTCCGAAGTGGTGAATGTAGTAAATATGATATATAATGGCTACACTACTGTAAACTTGTCTGTAGGGTGACATCCCTACTTGTCCTCGGTTTGCCCTTTCCTCCTCGCCTTTAAATTGTAAACAGGACTACTGCATGTACTCTCTTTGCAATAGATTTGGAATGGAAGGCCAGATTTCTATACATTTTGACAGGTACTTTGTGAAATGACTCTATCTCTGTGGTAAGGTTATTTGCAGCTTAGCATTTTGCTGAGTAACTGCTTTGCAGGATATAATTGCCTTTTTCTAAAAACATGAATGATTAATGTTCCAATTATGCATTGCTTTCCCCAGTATAAATCAGGAATGTTTGTAGGAAACTGTTGGGAACTCTGCTGTTTTTAAAACAGGCATTTGTGGGACTCAGCACAGTATATGAATCAGTACCCTCTAAAAAGGTGGAAAAGGGGCCAGGTGGTCAAACTTAAAACATCACCTTGTTAAAGCATATTTATTTCACTATGAAAAATTCAGTATCAAGGACTATACTACTACATTACTAAGAAATTCTTTTTAAAATCACATTTAAAACAATCACCGGAACTTGATCCACATCACACCCTTTCCTTTTTCTCAAACGTCTTAGAAGCCTGAGCTTCTAAGAATCATGTGGCAGTGGGATGGGCAGTAAAATGCCACAGAGAAGGTATTCAGTATGGTTAAAGGCTGTTTGCACCATTAAGGACCAGCTGGACCGTAGTGAAAATTGGGGCCAGAGTGGCATTATGTTTTTACAAGATAGATATGTGTCACGTGTTTGCATGTTTGTTTGCTTAGTGAACTTTTGAACAACCAGTTTACCAGTTTACTGGTTCAAAAGATTTCTCAGAATATCTGTAGCAATAGCAGCATAACAGTTTCCATGCTGCTTCATAGGGAGGAAATTAATTCTCCTATGTGCTGATGACAGAATCTGGGTCATGTGAGAAGAAAGATAATTTCATCCTGTCTTTTCAGTATATGTTTTAAAATAATAATTTCTGTGTCTGTGTAAGGCACGCTACAGAACAGCTCTGAGAGCAACAGTTTCTCTATTAACTCTTTCTGACCAACAGTGCTGGCACCATTGCTTCCTCTTTGGGAAGAGGAAAGGGTATGTGAATATGTCTAACAATCGCAAATACCCAAACGTAATAGCATAAGTAAAGTATTTATTTTATGCCTCAGTATATTATTATTTAATTTTTAGTAACGTATTTCTTTTGGTCCGTTAAGGAAAGATGCCGTGAGTAGAGAATTTAGCTATAGTTTGTTGAAATCCTTGCAGAGTGCATGTTTTTACAGTGGCTTGCTACTCAGGATAGATATTCTTCCACGCAGCTTTTTTTTTTTAACCTTTCCGAATATTGGAAGATAAAAATTATGCAGTGATTTGTTGAGATGCGGACTTAATGGTGCTGCTTTATCAGTTTGCTTCCAATGTGGCCTCCTACCCAGAGGCCCTGAGACCAGTGGAAATGAAAAGGATTTCAAAAATGTTCTATTCCTACCTTAAACTGACCAGCAAACTAGGACTGTGATAGTAGTGAATGATATGATGAAGAAAGTTTTACCAAGTTTGTTTTTTGTTGTTCTGAATTTACAATGTAATTCCTACTCCCTTTTAAGAATGTTGATGTATGGGTGTGAAGAGGCTAGAGATAGAAGATGCTCTGCTATTCATTGTAAGTGTCCTTCAACCTATATGTTGTAGAATTTCAGATTGGTCACTGATCATATTTCTTTGGTAAGAATGTGTTAAAATTACAACAATCTTTTAAAAAGATGATGCAGTTCTATATTGTGCTATGCCTGGTCCTAAGTGGAGCCAGTTAAACAAGTTTCATATGTATTTTTCCAGTGGTAAATCTCACACATTGTACCCTTTGGAAATTTCCTTCCATCCTGAAGAACGAATAGAAGAGGCCATATATATTGCCTCCTTATCCTTGAGATTTCACTATCTTTATGTTAAAAGCTGTGTATAATTGTTAAAATCTATGAAAGAATAAAAAGTGGATTTAAATTAACATTTTTTTCTTCGCATGTGTGTGTGTTTGCTAGAAAACATGCCACCTATTTGTATTTTGACTTACTGTTTTCAATATAAACTTCAAAATTTTTTGTTTCTCCCTTTCTTTATAGATTATTACTTAAGATCATGAAATTGAATTGGGGCCCTCACGATAGACTGCAAAAAGGCCTATAATCATATACCAGTATGATTTGGAAGTGTAGTACACAGAATCCCATGCCATCCTGAATATTACTTTAAATTGAAAAAGTGAATGGTTTCTAAAAGTGCACTTATAAATTAAAGGAGATCAGTGGTACTCATTTCTATTTTTGACAAATGAACTAAAGCCTTGTAATTCATGATTTTGCAAGCCAAATCATTTAGGATCCAATGTAGCAACATGTTACTTGGGACATATTTTATTTCTGTAAATGTATTTTAACAACTTGCAAGGGAGTAAAGAGGAGTGTGAAATGAGCCACTCTATATTAGCATATTACTATCAAGTGTCAAGTTTATATAGAGAAATGCTTAAAAATTCATAGGAAAGCTTATTCGTGATACAATGTTTGGGCAATTTTTAGTCCACTTGGTAATATCCCAATATCTTTTAATGTATTGCTACAATATAAGAGCACAGAGAAGGAAAGCAACTTTCCCAAGTGGGCTGTGATAAAATGCCGCAGAAGTTGTTCTACGGGTCTCCTCTTAGTTTGTGTTACCCCAGAAGTTGACTGAGACAAGTAGTTGAGTACAGGGAGTTTATCTGGGATGTGACCTCAGGACACACCAGGAGGGGTGTAAAGAATTCAGACAGAATTGAACGAAGCCAATAAAAATTCACTATCAAATAAGTTAACACTTTGGATTATTAAGCACAGCGCTGCTATGGAGTTCTGGTAGCAACTGAAGAATCACACCTCCGTTATCCCACCTGTGGTGCAAGAGAACTGGAGAACTTTCGTCAGTCACTGACAGCCGGCTCCTGTCAGTCGTCCAGTGAAGGCTTGTTCCCACAAGGACTGGCAGAGTCAATGCCCAGCGCTTGCATACTGGTATGTGGCCACAGAAAACCCCATAAGAGATGTGGGTGCGGGTAGTTGGGAGTTTGGCCTGGTGTGCAGTGAAATGGTAGTCATGGCCCAGGAGATTTAGGTGGGACACTACCAGCAACTGCTTCAGACTTCTTAAGGACCCAGGGACAAAAGATCGTTCAATCAGGAACTGAAAAGCCATTGCCGTAACAAAATAAGGAAGCACCCTGAAAAAGAATAGACACTCTTTGAACCCAGGTAGCTTGATGCCAGGGAGCATACTCTTGATCACCACACTACATTCTGCCTCTGTACTGGGAAAGAGTTGTGGTTTTTGTTGTTGTTGTTGTTTTTAATTTCATTTATTTGAGAAAGAGATTGCGGGAGAGGGAGAGCACACGCAGGGGGAGTGGCAGAAGCAGGCTCCCCGCTGAGCAGGGAGCCCGATGTGGGACTCGATCCCAGGACTCCAGGATCATGACCTGAGCCGAAGGCAGCCGCTCAAACAACTGAGCCACCCAGGTGCCCGAGGGTAGTGGTTCTTAACCAAGACTGCACTCCAGGGTCACCCAAAGAGCTCCTTACAATGTACATGTTTAGGTTCTCTCTGCATATTCTGGTTATTCGACTTAACTGATTTATTATATTTAAGTCACAGTGTCTTAATAACTTAGAAATTTATAGACATGTTAAGGTAAGATTGTATCAAAGTAAAAACAAAATGAAGATCCATGATCACTACATAAAGCCATACTTTGTTTTTAGAGCTTTTTCTTCCTTCCTGTTTCATCTTTTGATTAGAATCACGAAACTGATTATATCTCTCATTTCTAGTACTAGAAGGTATTCAGTAGTTACCATTGCTATTTGCAATGTAGTACTGATTTTTATTAATATTTGTATGTCAGTTTTTCTTAGTTCTAAAGTTTAGTTCTAAAGGTTAGTTCGAGGGGCGCCTGGGTGGCTCAGCCAGTTAAGCGTCTGCCTTCGGCTCAGGTCATGATCCCAGGGTTCTGGGATCGAGCCCCACCTCGGGCTCCCTGCTCAGTGGGGATCCTGCTTCTCCTACTCCCTCTGTTTGTGCTCTCTGGCTCTCTCTCTAATAAATCTTAAAAAAAAAAATGTTAGTTCTAAAGTTATTTACATTAATATTGGCTTTTAAACGATTTTTATTTTCATATGCCAGCTACTTAATCTTCTATAATGCCTTTTTTCCCTTTAAATTTAGGGTTTCTCCACCTGGTGGTGATTTTTCTGATCCAGTTACATCTGCTACTCTTGGTATTGTTCAGGTATATCTTTTCCTAGCGTATAGTCAACTTCTGAGCTTTCTCACCCCGGCTCTGCTCTAATGTTACTAAATCATCGTGAAGTATTTAATCTACTCACTACAGAGTTAAGCAATAGGAAAGTCTGTTTTAGGAACATTCTTGTCACTGAGAGCTTTTAATACTGTCCATTGTTTCTTAGCTCTTTGCCTAAGATTTATAACAAATTTAATTTCTGTAAGTGGAAAATACATTCGGAATAGCAAAGTTTTATTAGTGTGAGAATAATATAGCCTTTAAGTGAGAGTAACCCTAGTTGTAGAAACAAATAGTCCTAAAAATGCATAATGGCAAAAACTCAGTAGAAGTTTCTTTTTTCTCATAGTATGATCCAAAGCAGATGATCTTATCAGAGGATGGCTCTTTTCCACTTACTAGTAATTCAGAGACCAGGGTTCCTACCAGCTTGGGGCTCCACCGTCACCTAGCCTTGTAACTGTCTGCATTTCTGGCTGGCACGAGGGAGACTGTGGAGAAGGCACACCCGCACTGTGAACTCTGAGCTCAGATGCAGTCACCCCACTCATTCTGTTGGCCACACCCAGATGAAAGCAAAGCTGGAAAATGTACTTTCTGCCTACGCAGCTGCTTCCCAGTGACAAGGCAGGAATTGCAGTGGATAGCTGGTCAACTTGGCCATCAAAAGAAGCCTAAATGAAAGATGTATACAAATCAGGGCTGTAGTAAAATTTTGATGTATTCATAACTGTGTGTATTATTCATGGGGGAAAAAGAATATTTGCTTATGTTTCTGTCAGTATCTGAGAAAAAAATGGCAGAAGCTATATTTATAACTCTCAAGGTGTTTAACCTTTGCTAACATTTTGAGTTTCAATTTCAGGGAAAGGGCAAGCGAAGTTAAGAATGCATAAAAATATATGTGAACATTTGGCCTCAGAAAAATGACTGTTAGATCTTATTGGATTGGCCCTTAATCACAGGGAATTGAATTTAGTCAGAATGTTTCAAGGTGTTTAATCAAAGTGAAGAATCTATTCTCTCTCAGTAAGCATTTTCTGGTTCCTCTGTTTATATTGCATCATAATAAATCTTCAGAAGAGTCCATTCATTTTACTTCTATCAGATTTGCCATACTATTAAGGAAATTCAGATACAGTTTGAATTTGATTTATAGATAATATCCATCCTGAAACTAAAATGAATATATTTTTTTAAATTGTAAGTTGTATTCTATTTCAGTTATATGTGGGATATACTAAAAAGATTGATAATTTGACCAAAATATTATAGAATTGCATATTTAGGACAAATATACTTTAAGACTGTTAAAAAAATTTTTTTTTAAGAAAAATCATTGTATTTGTTTGTTTTGTTTTTAAATCAGGTGTTCTGGGGCTTAGATAAGAAACTAGCTCAACGTAAGCATTTCCCCTCTGTCAACTGGCTGATCAGCTATAGCAAGTACATGCGTGCCTTGGATGAGTACTATGACAAACACTTCACAGAATTTGTTCCTCTGAGGACCAAAGCTAAAGAGATTCTGCAGGAAGAAGAAGACCTGGCAGAAATTGTACAACTTGTGGGAAAGGTGAGTGGTTAAGTCCCACGGAGGACAGGTCTGTGAGTTAGAGTGGTATGTTGTAAGGACAGATAGAACCTTGGATATACAGATTCTTACCTAGCAAAATGAGTACTTATTAAATATTTTTTGAACTAATATAAGTTTAGCTTATCCTTTATCCAGCAGATATTTGAGGGTCCTGTTTGTGTTATGGAAGGTAGAAAGATGATTATTGTTTTGATTACCTATTGTTGAGTAACAAACCCACTTTGAACAGTGTTTTACTGCTCACAGTTTTGGGGTTGCACACCATGGAGAATGAGGTATGCAGGACCTGGAAGCAGACTGTGTGGCACACAGCAACATGGATGGATCTGAAAAAGAGCCAAAGACACATATGTGACTGCTTTACATAGTATAAAATACTAATACAAAATAAAATACACATTTCACATGAATTTTTGCACATAAAGGGATACACATAAAACACATTTTAATACTTACGGTTGGACACCTGGGTGGCTCAGTTGGTTAAGCAGCTGCCTTCGGCTCAGGTCATGATCCTGGGGTCCCAGGATCGAGTCCCACATCGGGCTCCCTGCTCAGTGGGGAGTCTGCTTCTCCCTCTGACCCTCC